AATTAATTTAATGATATGTGTAATAAAATATAATAGAGGAAAATTAATTTTTATGAATACTTTTTTGCAATCTTAATAATCGATATCCTGAAAATTTTGCAAGATAAATAAAAATTGATCAAAGGTTTTGAATTGAAGCAATATTTTAATATAAAAAGTTATTTTTAATTAATTTAATTAATTTAATAATATGTGTAATAAAAAATAATATAAGGAAATTAATTTTTATGTATATTTTTTTGAAAGTCTTCTAAGATATGTGAATAAGTAGCAATCTTAATAGTCGATATCCCTAAAATTTTGCAAGATAACTAAAAATTGATCAAAGGTTTTGAATTGAAGCAATATTTTAATATAAAAAGTTATTTTTAATTAAAAAAATTTTTAGACTGGCTCTGAATATTGTTCAATATATATTTTTAGTGCTCTTGGGAAATATTTTAAGAATTAGAAGTGCGTATATAGGCCTACAATTTTATTACTGCAAAGATTTATTTTTAAACAAATAATTTTTTGAACCGAAATAGTTGTTCCGAAGTTTTGTAAAATATTGATTTTCAGTATTTTTAGTAAGTATTTGAAGTTTTAAATGTCAGTATATAGTTTTTCGTTTACAAGTGCTAATAAACTAGATGTGCTTAAATTTGAAAAGTGCAACCTCATATTACCAAGTATTACTAATTTAACACATGAATTTAAGATGCTAATTAGAACAGTTTGTAGTCCTGATACCTGCAATCCAATATTTAATATACGGTTTCTTGAAATTTTTTTTCAATTTATTTTTTATCTAAAAAATGGCTCTACTAATTTGATTAGAAGAACGATTTTTCAATGGCTTTTTACTGTACACTTTACGTGTTCTTATATTGTGAAAACTAGAAATGTACCGAACATCTTGCACATTTATGGTATTTCTTTTTATTGAAAAAAAAAAAATTAATTTGAGACATCGACTTAAGCGAATAATGTTGGATAGAAAATCTAAAGAGTCTAAATTCAGGATATTCTTGGAAAATACGAGAAAATGCTTTATAGTTGCTACAGAAAAATCAATATAAAAAACATTTAAATAGCTCAACAATTGCTTTAGATGAAGTAAATGTATTACACATCCCAACTGGTTTCCTATGATTTATATTTAATATCTCAACCCATTAAGAATGATCTCACACTAAATGAACATTCTTACCCTATTTATCCTGTATGAATATTACTATTATTTTTTTTTTTAAACTAGTATCGTGAATAACCCCAGTAAGAGACTTACCTTATTCCGAGTTGCAAGTACATGTAGCAGCTTATAACACTCGCAGACCTGTTTTGACTTGAATGACCAAGAAGTAAGTGCTTTAGGAACAACCTGACTAATGGAAACATTTTATTGGATCTCATTTTTTCTATATCTCTAGTTGTTTATGATGTATTCTTTCTTACTATATCTTACTAATTTATCTATATCTCAATCTCTTCAGAGTGCTCACAAAAAAGTTAATATTATCACCCTATTATTGTGATATTTTTTGGATTAGGTGGGTATTGGGCAAAAACTTATTGTGGGAGCGCAGTTCATATTTACTCCGACGACTTTTTCGTTGTCTAAATTAATATATATATGTATGCAAAACTTCAAATTAATAAAAGAACAATAACATAAATAAACCTTATATCATTATAATTATTATCATTAAACGGCAGAAAGCACTGCAAAGTTATTAGTTCTTTTGTACATAACCTTGATCGTTAACCCTGTATATTGGATCAAGTTAAATGGGGTTTGTTGTCCATTTCATAAAAACTTCAGACATCTGTGTCATAGAGCCCAACTGGTTTCTGTGATGCAAAAGGTTGCAGTGACCAGTAAAATTATCAGATAAAGTCATCAAGTCTATTCGTGTTAGCGAAAGTATTTTACTTGGACGTTTACCTTGACGTTGGCCTACCCTATCAATTCGATGGTCTTTAAAATTTTTATCTCATCCCATTTTCTGTTGCGGTCTTTTAAGTAGCATTTTGTGAGTTCATTACCAATTGACTTGAAATCATAATGTCTTTCTGTGTGCCCTTTATTAAAATAAAATTGCTTTCTTATAGAAACTGTAATTTTTTCGATATGTTTCAGCAATGGACAATATATCTTTCCATTCACCTTTTGTATGTGTTTCGATATTATATCTAATAAACTGTATGACTCGTTTCGTGATGTCAGTTAATACAACGTATGGACCAATATTTTTTGAGTCTTCGTGATTTTTCGCTATTGCAACTATAAGTCTTCTCTAAACTTATTTTTATTTTCACATTTCTTATTAGCGTTATTAATTTTAAGGATTGCGTTACTATTCTAAAAAAAAACATAATATTAATTGATTCTTCAAAGAAAAATTTATTATAAAATATATTTCCAAATATTTAACTTATACGAGTATATTAAATATTATATTTTAAAATTCTCTTAAATATTACTTAACATTTTTTAACAGATTATTTTTTATGGAATTTCAGCATTTATGTGTCATCACAATACTTTTCTTGTATATCAATCCATGCGTGATGCAACTATGGAACGTTGGGAAAAGGTTACTCACGTTTCAATTGGTTTTGCATGGACAGTAGCAGCACTTTTTGGAATTGCAGGATATTCAACATTTCGTGCTCTATCTCAAGGTAAAAAAATATGGAAAGATTATTGTGTGGTTGCACATTGAGTATGCATGGAGGTAAAGCATTTGTAATGCTGTAAGACTCCGGCATTTAAAAAGGAGATTATTGATACCATACAGTATTTTGTTGAAAATGCAGTTATTTTAAGTTGTTGCAGCTGAAGTAATAAAAGTATTTATATTTCGTAAAAAAGCAGAAGGATTTCCTTCTCAAGATAAGTGAATAAAATTTGCAAATTATTCTCTGACTCGATATAAAAAATAAATGTGCATTGAAAGCAAAATCTCTGTTATGATGGATTGAAATGATACTATAAATTTTTAATAATATAGTCATATAATTTGAGAATATATTGTTTCTATTGGTTTATATTATTATAAATTATTGGTGATAATATTTATGTAATATTTTATTTAGCTATATGCGTTAGAGAGACTGCCATAGGTTTTGACTTACAGAAATCGCAGGCATCAATTAATGAACATTTGTGACTTGTCTAAAAACTAATAATGTTAATGAATAGTTTATAAAAACATACACTAATAAAAAAATTCGTCATTTATTTCTAAAATTATTATATTACAGAAATATTATTAAAATACTAAACAATATTAGATATTTATTTAGATAAAGTTATTGCATAGAAATATATATAAAGTTAGGTTAATAACATAACACTTTGTATTGAGAGTTGAGAACGTAACTGAATTGACTCTATTTATAATTAAAAAACTTCACTTATTTAATTATAATTAAAAAACTTTATATATTGACTCATTACAAAAGGTGATTTCTACAGTTAACAAAAGTAATATTAAAATGATTTATCACATTTGTTTACTTCTAACATAATATAACGTTTTGAGTGAATTGAACGAATATGGAACGAGTATTTTGGATAATCGACTGTAATATTCTTCAGGAATTTACGGTATTCTAAAACTATAAGTATTTTGACTTATGTTTGATGAAAACTATGTTTTGAGGTGGTCAAGGATTCGGTTGCACATACTAGTCATGGACGACACTACTAAATAAACAACCGTAAACTATTATTTAATTGACTGTTTGTTAGTCAATTAAAACCTTTCGGTAATCCTATTAACATAAAAAATCTTAATATTAATTCTTTGATTGGTATTGATTTCTACCTCCAAATTATAAGCAAATTTTGTTAAATTTCATGAACATAATCTATGTATTTTACCGATATTTTTAATAAGATAGCTTCAAGCAAAGCCATCTTCAACGTGTTTTTAAAAATTGCCATGAACTTTTGAAAGTACTATATATAAAATATATACTCGTATATAATATAAACAATATATTTATCTATATATATACAATGCTTCTATTTTACTCAGTTGTTCATTAAAAAATCATTATAGACTAAATATTAACTCATTAGTTCCGAGTTCGATTCCCGAGTCTCAAGAATAGTTATTTACGAATAATTAAAAATACAAGAATTATTTCCAAGACCACAGATGATGGGTATTTGGTAATACTCGAAACAGCTAAAAATTCAATTAATGAAAATAATATGACAAATAAAGTTTTTGTTGTTGTAGTTCACTACTGTTCGAAAAAACCTCTTTAACTCATTATAGAAATTATTTATTATTTGAAATGAGATATTGTTTTTAGAGTGCTTTTTTTATAAATTAATGTTATTAGAGTACTTTTTTATGTTATACTTGGAACTTATATGTTCGATAGACTATTTTATCTCTAAAATTTTTTAACTGTAAAATTTAAATCTGTTTATAAACTATTGTTTATAAAAACTTGAATAGTTTTTAGTGTTTGTTATTTGAACAATTTAGTGTTTTCTATTTAGTTTTAAATGGCAAATAAAAGTTGAATGTTAAATATCAAATAAAAATAATTGAGAATTGAAAAAACAACTAAAAACGTTTATCTTTGTCATTTAAAAGTTATTAAAGTTATGAAATCAGGAATGAAATAGTTTTAATGGAGCAGTTTGTAAATGCATAAATTAAATCGATTTTTATTATTGTTATATATATTTTCGTTATTAACAAAAGGAAATTTACTCGTAAAATTCATAGCAGCAAATTTTAAAACTTCTGAAATAATGCC